ACCTTTTGTAAAACAAGCGCAATATGACAGATTCCTCAGTGTATCTCCACATCAAGTATCACACTTTTAGGAATTCCTACTCCCACTTGGCTCAGCTCCCATTTTATTAATGAATTATTAAGGCTATATATCTAAGGTTGAGAGTGCCCAACCTTAGATCTTATCTTCTTAAGATCTTCCTCTACTATGAAAATCAACCCTTGTTCAGGATGCTGTCAGATGCATCAGCATGAACTACTACCACAGACGCTCAGCAATGCAAACGGTATGTTTTTAGGAGACAAACACTCTCATGCTTAAGCAAGGCAGCCATCACAGTCATTAGAACTTGAGGTATAATAATTCATTTCTGCACTGCCCAACAAAAGACTTCATGTTAAACACAAATTATAAAAACTAGTGTGTCTGAGGAAAGCCTGGTCACTTAAAAGCAACTATTATTGGATTCCATACCAATTAAGACAAAAAGCAAAGAGTATAATTTTTATTTATTCATCTACAGACTGGAAAACAGGGCAATGTCCAGAGAGATTCCAGAAAAGGTTGGAGACAAACACACGCTGACATTTCCTTTACCCCAGAAATTCTCTCTTCTGAGCTGCTTAGCTTTGTAAAGCTCTTACATGTAAATGCATGTGATATATATATATATATATTTATTAAATTCACATAAGAGTTAAGAGGGACTTTATAGGTTAAACTAGTATATTATAAAAATGTTAAGGATTCTAGAATGTTGCCAGTTTTTACTATATCTTCATTTCTTTGTTTTCTTTTTTTTTTTTATTAATTTATTTTTATTGCAAAGTCAGATACATAGACAGAAGAGATTGAAAAGAAGATCTTCTGTCCAAGTGACTGCAACAGCAGGAGCTGAGCGGATCTGAAGCCAGGAGCCAGGAGCTTCTTCCAGGACTCTCACGCGGGTGCAGAGTCCCAAGGCTTTGGACCTGGCTCTCCCGGGCCACAGCAGGGAGCTGGATGGGAAGCAAGGCTGCCGGGATTAGAACCAGCACCCATATGGGATCATGGCACATTCAAGGTGAGGACTTTAGCCACTAGGCTACGGCAACGGGCCATCTCCTAAACAAGTAAATGGAAACATTATTTTTCTAGTTTACTAATAAATGACATGACCAATAATCAAAGTTTATGATGAGCATGATAAGCTGTTTTTGTATGCTAATTCAAGTATAGATAAAAATAATCTACAATGCTTCAGTAAATCTATGCTTAATATCCCAAGTAATATATAAATTGTCATTAGACTTTGAAGGAGACAAAGTCTAGAAAGAGGACCTGGAACAATAGCCTAGTGGCTAAAGTCCTTACCTTGCACGCACAGGGATCCTATATGGGTGCTAGTTCATGTCCCGGCAGCTCCACTTCCCTTCCAGCTCCCTGCTTGTGGCCTGGGAAAGCAGTCGAGGACGGCATAAAGCCTTGAGACCCTGCCCTGGAGTGGGAGACCCGGAAGAAGCCCCTGGCTATTGTCTTCGGATCAGCTCAGCTTTGGCCATAGCAGCCACTTGGGGAGTAAGTCAGTAGATGTAAGATGTTTCTCTCTGTATCTCTTTCTCTCTGTAAATCTGCCTTTACAATAAAAATAAATAAATCTTTTTTTAAAAAAATGCTAGGGGCCCAGCGGCGTGGCCTAGTGGCTGAAGTCCTCGCCTTGAACATTCCGGGATCCCATATGGGCGCCAGTTCTAATCCTGGCAGCTCCACTTCCCATCCAGCTCCATGCTTGTGGCCTGGGAAAGCAGTCCAGGATGGCCCAAAGCCTTGGGACCCTGCACCTGTGTGGGAGACCTGAAGGATGTTTCTGGCTCCTGGCTTTGGATCGGCACAGCACCGGCCATTGTGCTTACTTGGGGAGTGAATCATTGCACAGAAGATCTTCCTCTCTGTCTCTCCTCCTCTCTATATATCTGACTTTGTAATAAAAATAAATAAATCTTTAAAAAATGCTAGAAAGTTATTAAAGTTTCATTACAACTAAAGACCCCCAGCTTTGAAACAATTCCTCCTATGAAACAATAGCAAATCTGAGGTTCAACAAGACTAATTTTGGCTGGGCCTCCTTCCAATAGACTTTTCCAATAAGCTCTCTCTCCAATAGGCCTTTCAAGTGACAGTAGCTCTAAGATGCTACCCGATGCACTCTGACACGTGTTCAGAACATCCTGCTGACGTCATGGGTGAAACGCTGTTTCCCTCCACCTCTCAAGCACACAGAGGAAAGTCCTAAAAGTAATTCTCACAGCTTTCTGCCTATGCCAACACAATGGCATTCTCAGAATGGCCGCCTGCTGTTTCCACACGGGCCTCACAGGCTCCTACTGTTGGTGGGCTGGCCACTCTCTGAGGATGTGGCCTTCTGTCAGGCAAGCTCTGAGCTTGATCTTGCCTATACACCCAGCACACAGTGGCAGGCTCAAACAAACCAAAATAGAGTGAACAAGAAAATCAGGGCACAATTATTGCTCTGAGAACAAAATAAAGGGCAAATGGACCAGTTGATGCATTCTTCCACTACAGAATGCCACCAGGATACCAAATATAATGTTGGGTTAACATACACTTGGAATAGGAAGCATAAGGAGCAATATTTATATGTATGACCTCAGAAAGGAAACCCACTCTTCTTCTTGATAAAACCAGACTCAGAATCTCCAAGATTGGACACAAGGACATTATAAAAATACAGAGGGCCTGGTGTGGTAGCCTAGCAGCTAAAGTCCTCACCTTGCGCACGCTGGGATCCCATAAGGGTGTCGATTCATATCCCGGCTGCCCCACTTTTGGCCAGGGAAAGCAGCTGAGGAAGGACCAGGGCCTTGGGACCCTGCACCCACATGGGAGACCTAGAAGAGGCTCCGAGCTCTCGGCTTTGAATCAGCTCAACTCTGGCCATTGCAGCCACTTGGGGAGTGAATCAGTGGACGGATAATCTTCCTCTCTGTACATCTGACTTTCCAATAAGAAGAAATAAATCTTGAAAAAAAAGAACACAGAGGCAGCTAGATCTGCAACTTCAGACTCCTGGCTCCCAAAATCCACCTTCCTCTCAGGAGAAACTATGTGAATGAACATGGTATGTTCTAAGATCCCCCATCTTTAACAAAGAGCCTCAAGTGTGATTGGTCATCTACTCAACTGTATTGGTAGGTCTCACAACTCCCTTTCTCACTCTCCTGAACAGTTTTCTTTGCCTGCGTTTCTGCTGTGCTTTTCCTAAATATTCAAAAGTTTACAGTTGCCAACTACAAATAGGGCCACTGGAAAAGCCTTAAGGGAAAGCCACTGGAGTGTCGGGATAAATGACAGGTCCTCCGTGGACTTGGCACCTCTGTGAGCAATAAAAATTTCCTGTGTTCTCCACCTCTCACCTAATAGGGGATAGGGATTTTTTAACATGTCTTCTATGAGTTTGCTGCCTAACAGCATGGAAAGCTGTCTAGAATGTGTTCAGGGGAAAAACTCAAGCCCAAGTGGCCACATTCTTCAGGAAGGGAAAAGTCTATATTGCACACATCCCCTCACCTCTACAGAAACAAGGAACACACCTGCCAAAAAAGCAGTCGAAAAAATGTCTGGACAACGTGGTACACTGACTTGGAAATGTCACAGGAATGATAGAAACTAAAATTGTACAGAAGAGTAACAAGAAGATGACAAGGAAACCATGGCATCGTATTCTAAAAGTGCTATTTGAAGAAAGTACTGAGCAACATTATACTTTGTTAAGCATGTGTAGTTAAAATGCTAGAAAGATTTTAATCAAAAGATTAAAAATTAATGACACAATACATAATTTCCAAACCCGCTGGAGAAGGATGGAGGAGGATACAGAAAAAGAGAGCATTGTGGCAAAGCCGGTTAAGCTGCTGCTTGTGGCTCTGGCATCCCAGGTGAGTTCAATTCCTGGTTGCTGTTTTCTCCCCAGCTCCCTGTTAATGCACCTGCGAAAGAGGCAGAGAATGGCCCATGTACTTGGGATCCGACTCCTACATGAGACACAGATGGACTTCCTGTCACCTTGTTTCATCTCACCCAGCCCTGGCTGTTGCAGCTATCTGTGAATCAGTGGATGGAAGATCTGTCTCTTTGTCCTCACTTTGTTTCTGTCTTTCTTTCAAATAAGCAACCTAAGTGAAAAGAAATAAAACTGTCCCATCAAGGTTTGCAAATTACTACGTTTCCTCAAGCACAACTCGCATCAAGATTCAGTATTTTAGGAAAAGAAAAACTGAGGCCAGTACTGTGGCATTGTGCGCTAAATGCAACGAACTGTGGTGCTGGCACCCATCTTGATGCCAGTTAAAGTCCTGGCTGTTTCCACTTCCAGTACAGTTTCCTGATGATGCTCCTAGGAAATCAGAAGACGGCCCAATTGCTTGGGCTCCTGCACTTACGAGGGAGACGCAGAAGCTCCAGACTTTTGGCTTCGGAGTGCCCCAGCTCTGGCTAGCCATTGCAGCTATTAGGGGAGTGAACCCTCCAACCATTTTAGAACCCTGGGCAGCCGAGTGCCCATTTCCGGCTGGGAACTTGCCACTTGACTAGTAGCCGGCCAAAAAGGTGCCCTTTTCTCAGAGAAGTCACTTTGGAGAATCAGGATTCTCAGCAAGCAGGACCCACTAGAACACTCAGCAAAGGAACAGATATGGCGGGGATACCGTAGCACAACCAGGAAGCACTTGGGCACAACGCGACTCACTCACGTTTAGCCGTTCCTACACCAGCAAGGGACATGGGCACTTACCTGTAAATTCCTAACTCTTCTGGCCTTAAGAACGCTCAAACGCCCGCGGTTCACCACACGTGTCCGGGTAGCAGAATTCTCGACCCCCTAAAGCACCGCCTCTGCCTTAGAACCAATCAAAGGGAACTGCGTCATCACCAGGGACCATAACTAAGCAAAGGCGACACTAAAGTCAAGCCGAGGGACCGCTGCAGTTGCCGTGGTAACTGGGCTTCGCTTGCGCAAAGTCTTCCTGGGAGTTGTGGTTCGGTGGTGCCTGACGCTAGCTGCCTTTGCTGGTTGGAAGAACTACAACTCCCAGTGCGTCCCGGAAGCAGCCTAGGCGGAGGAGCTGTTGTTACACCTTTGGTGGGATACGGGGCGTGAACCAGGAAAATGTTGCTGGCGCCCCAGGAGAGGCCCTCCTCAAAGAAGAGGCTGGAACTGAGTCGCTGGAAACGGTTCACGAAGAGGCCAAGTCCCAAGGTGATCCCAGGAAGAAGCTTTGGGCTAATGGGGCGGGGAGTGGTTCAGGGAGATTCCGTGTCCCAAGACAGTCGCAGCCCCTCCTGCAGTTCCTACATCTTCCTCGGAGGGACATCGTTAGGAGACCTGTGCAGCTGCCTTTAGTGAAATGTCCTGAAAGTTTTGGGTTATGACTTTTTTAGGGCTCTGGTGGGCAGCCGTGAAGAAACTGTTGCTACTGAACACTGTTCTCAAACTGGAGAGCTTGCCCGTGTCCAGCAGGATGGGAGGAATCTCAAACCTTGTCCCTCTACCTTCAGGACACTTAAATATGTGTTTGTTGGCATGATATTCCCTTTAAATGCTCTGCCACAGCCCCCTCCACTTCCAGTTTCTCATTAAATATATAAAATGAACTCGGGATTACAAATGGATATTGAATATAGGAATACTTGAGTAGCAGATTTAACTGATATTCAAGGGATAGATCCTTTTCATGTGTTATCTCTTTAAGTATTTATTCTATTTTGATTTCTTTGAAAGGCAAACTATGAAGTAGAAACAGAGGAGTTTTCCCTCTACTCCACTCCCCAAATGCCAGTAACAGAAGGACTGAGCCAGGTCCTAACCAGAGGCATGGAGCCCTAGCTGGGCTGCCACGTGGACCTGAGTGCTACCTCCCAGGGTACACAATAACAGGTCCCTGGATGGGAGGTGACAGATGAGGGAGGTGGGGTGAGGCCAGGAATCAATTCCTTGCTCTCTGGCTTCCCAAAGGAGGCTGAATGTGCTGTGCTACCTAAAGACCAAAAACAAACAAACAAAAAACCCCATGATAACCCCATTTCACATCTTACATTTCAGCATCTGTCCATAACATGTGCAAAGTCACAATCACACAGTGTGTGCTTTCCACAGACTACCTTGTTAGCAGTCCCCAAAAGAAATGCTGTAAGTGTAAATGAGGATGCGAAAATGCAGAGGCTTCTGAGCTTTAAGCTACTGAGCCGTTTCACCAGCTGTTGTCACCCTTCAGTTAAGCATTGCTGGAAGAATATTCTGTAGATGCGTGGAAAGAGGAAGGATGTTTGGCTGCTGGTGCTTGTTACCCTGTTGTTGCCTACAGTATAAAAAGGTAAAAACCCGAGAACTTGAAAAATTATTCAGCAGTACAGCTGCATGAATTCACTCTCTGGAAGATATTTTAAAGTTGAAGTATTAGGTAAATGAGAACATACCTTTCCCAGCTCTCTTGCCCGTGTGCTAATTTAGATGTCCTGAATTTTTAGCAAAACAAATGCCTCCATTTGTTTACTATTTCAGGAAACACGAGTTCCTGAGAGTGCAGCCTAATGGTCTGATTTCTAATCACGTCTGACTGATCTGCGTGGATATTAACCATTCATCACTTTCTGCTTTGAAAATGGTAGAAGTTGGATTGAGTAATTCTTACTCCAATCCCTGGTACTTCCTGTACCAAACTGTGTCTCTGATCTTGCTGCAATGTTCTCCTAAAGAGAGCAGAGGGGCACACCCTTTTCCCAGTGCTGTGTTGGATTTTTATGAGAAATGTTATGCCTAGCCTACGAAGTTGTCTTGGCCCTTAACCCTGAGTAGCTTTTATAGAGTCATGATGCCATGGCCAGCTTTGTAGGCAGTGAGTGAAGTTGGCTGTAAGGCTTGGATGCCAACATACCCTCTGTGGGTGCCAATTCATGTCCCAGCTGCGCCCCTTCTGATCCAAATCCCTGCTAATAACGGCTTGGGTGAAGCAGAGGAAGATGGCTCACATCCTTGGGCCCCTGACACCCATGTGAGAAGACCTGGTTTCCTCTTGGCCCACTCCTGGCCTTTGTGACCATTGGTGAGTGAACCAGAAGATAGAAGTCTCTATAACTCTGTCATTCAAATAGATAAATAAATCTTTTTTTTTTTAACAAAAATTGTAATTCCTGGCCCCTACCTTAGCCCAGTTCAATCTGAACTTTAAGATGGCCCTAGACAAGAAATAAAAAGAGGCAATGAGCAAGAGAAGACTTCCTATTTATTCATACTGTTATTCTGTGTGCTTTTTATTACTTATTAGCACTCAACTTTCTAATGAAATGCTTTGGAGGAAGAATAAAGGACACTTTCAGTGTTAAATAAAGGGCGCTTTATTGTTAAATGTTAAATAAAGGATACCTTCTATGTTAAAGTTGAGTAAGATATTACTGTATGTTAATACTGAGTATGTTAATATACTGTGTATGTTGTCTGCAGCCTGCTTTTTACCCTGATGACGTGAAGCTCTGGATTAAGGTAAGGGTATTTCAACATGAGGTTAAAAAGGAAATTAAGAGGCATTATCAGATTGAAAAGAAATGTAAGGGTCTCTATTTTGCTTACACTTGGTTATTTTTATTCCTGTATTACTGTATATGTATTACTATGTATGCATTATTATGTACTATAACTTTATTTCCATTTTTCAGTGATTTTGTTGCTTCTTCTGGAAACAGTTCAGCATGAATGTAAGAAAAGTAGTGTGTAGACATGCCTTTTCAAACGTTCTGAGTATGACATGAACAAATGTAGTAGAGATAAACAGAACAGGGAGGGACAAGCCTTGAAAAACATTGTAGTGCCCTACTTCTACTGGTGGAAGGTCTGTAATGTAATTACATTGACAAATAGAACTGACAGGCTATGTGAGTATCAAAAGAAAGAGTTTTCTAATTATTAGAGTGGTCCATAAATGAAGTGAGCATTCTTTAAGACAGGTATGTGCACTTGTGTTTTAAAAGATTTCTTTATTTGAAAGGCAAATTTACAGAGTGAGAAGAAGAGAATAAGAGAGGGGTAACTTCTTCTGCTAGTTTACTTCCCAGATAGCTACAATGGTTAGAGTTGAGCATAGCCAGGAGCCAGGAGCTTCTAATGGGAGTCCCATGTGGGTGCAGGGACCCAAGGACATGGGCCATCGTCTGCTGCTTTTCTAGCCCACCTGCAGGGACCAGGATCAGAAGAGAAGCAGCTGGGACTCGAACCAGCACCCATATGGAATGCTGGTACTACATGAGGTGGCTTTGCCTGCTACACCATGGCACTGGTCCCCAGAAATGTCTTCGATCACTGGAAGTACTCAAGTGGACTATAAAGGATCACTTAATGTTGGGATGAAGAGCATGAGCTTTCAGTGCATAGGAGATTGGAGTAAATAACTTCTGAGATTTGTTTCTAAGTCCAGGTACCATTTAAAATGTGAATGCCACCAAAGCCCTTCAGGTACACACCTCTGAAGGTCAGTTTGGCAACTTTCCATACTCTGGGTAGCGTATATTTCAGAATCATGCACTCCTTTCCTGGGAAAATATTTTTCTGCCAGATAGTATTTTAAAGAGATTTTATCTAAATTGACGTACTGCATCATGGGTACCTGGCGTTAAGTGCCTACTAAGTACTAACACACTGTCTTGGGCAGTAGAACTAAAACAGGACAGAGGAGGTAAAATATCACCCTTCAAAACTTCATAGTCCAGTGGAAGGATAAGCAACTTGTCCACTGATGAAGCGGCAATTGAAGAGGTACGTGGAGCCCAGGAAGGTTTCTTAAGTACTGCAGAAGGCCTGACATGAAAGACAACTGAAATTGACCTACTGTTAGGGAGACTAGCTTCTGAGAAGCCCTCTCCTCCTGCATGTCAGGGGTGGGAAGCCCAGAGCCACATCCCTGCAGGGCTTAGGCACAGTAATTGATTACCATCCCTTCCCGAGAGGAAGATGTAGGGAAACCAGCATGCTGACTTACACCATTTTTCTCCTTCATACCATTGTTGGCCAGCATGACTGTGACTTCTTTTCCCCACTATACTCTCAAATCTCCCATCTTCGGAAAAAAAAAAGTCCTTATTTGACCCTGTAGTCCATTCTGATAGCTGCACAACTTCTTTTGCTTCTCCAGTGTCTTCGATATATACCCTGGACTCCTTGCCTTTGTATTTTTTTTTTTAAAGATATATTTTATCTTTTTTTTTTCTTTAATTGGAAAGGCAGATATACAGAGAAGAGAGACAGAGAGGAAGATCTTCCGTCCAATGATTCACTCCCCAAGTGAGCGCAACGGGCCGATACTATGCCAATCCGAACCCAGGAGCCTCTTCCGGGTCTCCCACGTGGGTGCAGGGTCCCAAAGCCTTGGGCTGTCTTCGACTGCTCTCCCGGGTCACAGGCAGGGAGTTGGAAGGAAAGTGGGGCTGCTGGGATAGAACCGGCGCCCATATGGGATCCGGGGTGTGCTAGGCGAGGACCTTAACCACTTGCGCCACCGCGCTGGGCCCAAGATATATTTTATCTTTATTGGAAAGGAGGATTTACAGAGAGGAGAGACAAAGAGGAAGATCTTCCATCCAATGATTCACTCCCCAAGTGAGCGCAACGGCCCATGCTATGCCAATCTGAAGCCAGGAGCCTCTTCCGGGTCTCCCACGTGGGTGCAGGGTCCCAAAGCTTTGGGCTGTCCTCGACTGCTTTCCCAGGCCACAGGCAGGAAGCTGGATGGGAAGCGGGGCTGCTGGGATTAGAACTGGCGCCCATATGGGATCCCAGGCTTGCAAGGCGAAGACCTTAACTACTGCATTGTCGTGCCGGGCCCTTGCCTTTGTATTTTTATTATCCTCCACTGCCCACTGTTATTTTTCCTTGGTTTCTGATTTTTACCATTTCACAGAGATTGTTATAAATGACCTCCTGGCCAAATTTAGTTATTTCCTCCTGACAGTCCTCAAACTTTTGCAGATTATATTTGATAGTTACTACTTCCTGTGTTGTTGAAATTCTCTCCTTCACTTCATTCTGTTAGCACTGTTTTCTCCTGCTCTCTATCTTCACTTCTTTGTCTTCTATTCATACAGAGTGGTTTTGCTCCCTAACATATCCTGATTGTGGGTGTACCCTAAAGAGATATAACCTCTATATCAAAGGCTTCCAAATCTACTTCGGTAGACAATCTTCTCAAAATCAACTAAGATTTTGTTATATGGAACAAGCATGGATTATGCAGTTAAGAAAGTTCTCTCTTCTGAACTGAAAAGATTGGAGGCTGACACTGTGGCACAGCTACTTAAGCTGCCATCTGTGATACCAATATTACATATGAGTTTCCTTTCAATCCGACCTGCACCACTTTTTGTTCCAGCTTCCTGATAATGTTCCTGGGAAGACAACAGAGGTACCTGGGGCCCTGTCACCCACTTGAAAAACCCAAAGGGGATCCAGGCTTTAGCCTGGTCCAACCCTAGCCATTTTAGCCACTTTGGGAGTGAACTAACAGTTCTAAGATCTCTCTCTCTCTTTCCCCTTTCTCTGTATCTCTGCCTTTCAAATAGGAAAGTAAATAAATATTCAACAAAAAGAAAGCAGATGAAGATTGTTCAACATAAGTTGAGACCTTGCTGAAATAATGTAACCATAGTTTCTCCTGAGATCAAAAATTCACAAATCAATTTGCTCTAGGCTTGCATATGTTCATTGTAAAAGCAAAGGAATGAGATATTTGAGGATAATGTAAGATCATAGTTGAATACCCACCCTTGCTGGAAAAGAGAAGGAAGCTTTTAAAGGACTCATAGGTTGAGGGAGGAGGGTGAGAGTAGGGGAAGTAAAGCTTGGAGATAAATAGGTGACGGATATTGGAGAGAAGTTATCAGAGTTTGTGTTGAGTGATGGAAAACTCTATGTGACATGGTTCAGAATGAGCATGCCAGTAATAGGCTGCTGGACTACTGGAATATCAGACAAACCCTGAACCTGAGATGCTGGTGAGTCATGGATGTAGAAACCACTTCACATCAGGTGCTTGAGTAGAATTAGGAGTCCTGTGGCAGTTCACTTGAAATGCAACAGTCCACCACAATTTACAAATCATCCTTGTCCTGACCTGAGGGAATGACTCATCCAAGTGCATACTGCTGCATTACTGAGCTTTCCAGGCATTCTCATCAAGTCAGTTCTCTCCTCTGGAATCCTTAGTGTTTCTGTATGTCTCTGTCAATCAATTTATAGGATCAGTGCACCCCTCATAGCCCTTTAACTAATAGGGTGTATCTCCTGTGAATACAGTTTCCTTCCCTTCATCAATAGGATCAGTGTTCACTTGGCTTTGACTAATGTTGGACTAATCCTCAGTCTGGAATTCTGATTCTCTCAGTGGCTAATCCAAATCCTTTCCTTTCAGTTTGTCTTGAGATACCTCCCCAGTGAACAGATCCTCTTTGCCCATCCTAAACTCCTGATCCCATTTACCAGGACTCTCTTACAATTATTCTATTGTTCGTATAGGCAGATAGAACGTCAAGCATTTACTGTTATATAGAGTGATTCAAGAGAATTGGCCAGAGGAAGGCATTTGGTGCAGTAATTAAGTCACCACATGGTCCTTGTACCAGTTACTCCGCTTTCCATCCAGCTACTTGCTAATGTGCACCCTGGAAGGTAGCAGGTGATGGCTCAAGTACTTGCATCTCTATCACTTACATGGAGAATCCAGAGTGACTTATGGGCTCCTGGCTTTGGCCTGACATGGCCCTGGCTGTTTGTGGATATTTAGGGAATGAACCAGTAAATGGAAGATGTGTCTCTCTCTCTCTCTTTTAAATAAAAAAAAAAATAGGCACTTTAAAAATAATGTTATTTGCAAAACTATTATGTTTTCAACTGGGTATATGCCAAGTGACTGGTGTTTTTTTTTTAATTTTAATTTTATTTTTGGTGATTTATACATACTTGGGTCATAAGAGTAAAGGACTACAGGAAGGTGGGTGAGATCACCATTTCCACATTCTCTTTTTTTCTTTCCTGTACCTGGGGAAAAGAGGGAAATAAGCCTCCCATCCATTCCAGGGTCCCTGATGTGGGGCACACTCTGAGGGTCCTGCTCAAGAGGTTTCGATAGTTCAATAGTTCTGAATTACTGCCGATCTTGCCACTCCAAGCACAATGAAATCTCTCCAGAATCCACTGGTTGACATAGTCCACCTTAGAGTCTCTGTTTGCCCAGATATTCACTGCCAACACTTGGCTGGGGTAGTTGATCAATTTGTTTTGTCCTCCGTCTTCTATTGTGGTACCAAGTGTCCTCTGCAGACTCCAATGTATTGCCATATCCTCCATGTGCACCCAGAGATACTGTCCACTGCTCTGTCTAAGCCCCTGAGAAGGCCCAGCGCTGATACATGCACTCCACGGTCAGACCACGGAACCCAGAATTCTTTCCATGGTTGGGGTTCAGCTGGGGGAATCCCTGAAGAAACTTCATCTGAGGT